CCCCCCCCCCCCGACCTTTGGAGAGAGTTGTGTGAAGGCCCGGTCCTTGACATGGTCACAGAAATTCTGTTCTGGTTTAAAGTCACATACGGTGGATTATTTATTCTAAGCTGACGCGAGGCTGCCTGTGGAAGGAAACAGCCAAGTCCCCACCGTGATGGCTGCGCCGCGGCATCTGAGCTCTGCCAGTCCTCCCTGAAGCCGGCACCGGCCAGCGAGCGGCCGCTGCAGAGGACAGTTGGGGAGAGGTTCTCGCAGGCACCAGGGACACGAGCCCTGATCCTGACGGGAGGCTGGGTCCCTGCGGGAAGGAGGTGCAGAGATCACTGCGGGGACCTGCATGTGGTGTCTCTGCTGGTTTTGCTGAAACCCAAGCAGAGGTGCAGACACGGCCCTGGAGGTCCCGCTGAGCTACCCCCCAGGGTGGTCAGAGGGGCATCCCGTGTGGGCCAGGCTTGGGAGAATGGCCCCGCCAGCATCTCTGCCGTGGCCTCGCTCCCTTCTAGAAAGGTCTAGACAGCAAGCCTCCTTGAAGTGGGTCAGGATGGAGAACAGGGTGCTCTTGTGGGTGAGGCATCCACGTGGAATATTCCGTCATCGTGAAGTATTTTTATATATCTGTGTTCTGAGCTCTGGTTGTGGAATTGAACTGTTCAGACTGGAATTAAATGCCATTTTACAGCCCTGCCTGTTCTTTCCCGGGCCCCACACGCAGCCCACCTCGGGCACTCAGGCCGGCCACGCTGGCCCCGATGACTGCTTCTGGAGGCTCCCTCCCCAGCCCGTCTGGGGAGGCGGGTCCCGTGTCAGCCCAGCGTCTCAGGTGTGCCCGGTGCTGACCAGAAGTGCTGGAGGCTTCCCCTGCTCGGCGCCCAGCCCCATCCCAGTCCTGTGCCCCAGCAGGTGTCTTCAGCTCCTCACTCCCACTGTATTATGTTTTTGTTCGTCTTGAAATTTTGTCCCAGGGCCACTGGGGCAGGCAGTGCTGGGTGGGCATCTGTTGATGCCCCAAATTGGCTCTGGGTGGTAATTAGGAAGGTAGAGCCAGCCGACTAAGTGAGGAATGTTCCAGGAGGGGCAGTGAGGTGGCCCTGGCCCCCGGGAAGCCAGCGCACTGGGCTGCTTCTGCATCAAGAAGAGAGACCCAGCACAACATGGGGTGCAGCCGGGGCCCCCACTGGCCGGCCTGTGGCCTCCTGCACCCCCGTCCACCACAGCCCCAGCTTCCCTGCACCCACCCTCACCCGGTGTCCCCCCTCAGCTGTCTGGGCTCCGTCCAGCTGGCGTCTCAGCAGCCCGCACCTCTGCACGGCCACCCTGCTCCCCCACTGTGTCCCGTCCCCTCCCCGGGCGTCCACCCCTGCCCCGGTCACCTCCCACCACTCACAGCCACCCTTCCTGAACCTTTTTCAGCCAGACCCCTGGCCCCAGACCCTGCAATGCTTGTCCTACAGTCGCTGTACCTTTCTCGCTCCAGCCCAGATGGCATGAGGGGACGATCAGACCCCCCAGTGCGAGGAGCAGTGCATCAACAAAACCACTTCCTGTAAGAGGGAGTTTTCCTTGTGTTCACTTGAGCACCTCTTTAAGTCTATCATTTATCTAGGAAGCTGATTAAGACGAGGGATGCACACACACACACACAATCTCAGACAGGCACGTCTATGCAGTGTGGTCAGTGGCCCTCCCCCCAAGGCATGGCTTCTACGGCCAGGCTTTCCTGTCCCGGCTCCCTTCTCAGCCCCTGCGCCCCCCATCCTCCTGCCCCTGCTCCACCCCTTCCAGGTCCTGCTCCCCACCTCCTCCCCACCTACCCAATCTGCCCTCACCCCCTCACCCTCAGTGTTCCTGGAATTATGGTGAACCCTCTGTTAACTCCCTGCCCTATCAGACCTGCTTCTCCGTTTCAGGGCTCTCCCTTGACAGTCCCAGTTTCCTGATGCGGGCTCTTACCTCCCCTATCCACCCCCCTGCTCCCCATCCAATCCATCACCCTGACAGCTGATTGCCCCTCCTGTATTAGTTATCCATCCCTGCCTTAGCAGTGTACCAGCCCCTGGCGGCTGGAAGCAACATTCTCTCTTGGCTGGGCTGTGGTCTCAAGAGGTCGCAGTCAGATGTCTGAAGGCTCGAGTGAGGCTGGGGGCTCAGCTCCCAGGTGCCTGGCTCAGAGGACAAGGAACGTTAGGAGAAAACAGGAGCCTGAATAATGCCTGGACATGAGTTGGCGATGTATACACATTGGGTCATGAATTGTTAACGTCAGTGTAAAATGTTAGCAGTAGGAGAGACTGGGTGATGAGTACAGCGAACTCTGTACTAGGTTTGCAACTTTTTTTTGAATCAAACTATTTGGAAGTACAAGGTTTATTTTAATTTAAAAATTCCAGCTCCACAGCCTGGCCAGCTGTGGGAACTGAGGGCAAGGAGGTGTAGGATTCCCAACAGACCCAGCCCTCGGCCCAGCCCCTCTCTTTTCTCCCGTGTGTCACCACCGGGATGGTGACACAGTCGGGCTCCAGGACACACCTGGGGTGGTCCTCCCTCGCCAGGAGCCAGCCCTGCTCCTCACCTGCGTTCCCCCGTTGGGAACGGGGGAACCTCAGTTTCCCCATATGTATTGTAAAATGGGCAGAATAGGTACCCAGCAGGACTGTCACAGTTAAACGACATCCGAGCAGAAGGTGTCTCTGCAAACTCCCTCTTGGTATTCAGTAGTGTTCCTTTTGACAATTACATTCGTTCTGATCCTGCCACTTAAAAAATATTGTAAATGGGAGTGGGGTAGGGGGTCATTTGGGCTGGGATCATAGTTTTGGGGGTGGACCGGGGTGGGTGGGGATGAGGCCTTGTTCTAAGCCCTCCCGCATTGGCATGAGCCAGCAGCCCAGCTCCTCATCTGAAGAATGGAGAGTATTCTGGGGAGGAAAGGTCAAAACCGACACATTCTGGGTAAAAGTGCTAGGAGAAGCTGGATCAGCTTGGAGCAAAACAGAACTCTGTTCGCACCAAAACGTCTGCCGAAACCCGGGATCGAACCAGGGACCTTTAGATCTTCAGTCTAACGCTCTCCCAACTGAGCTATTTCGGCTGCGCAGCAGGGGGCTGCCCGCACCCCCGACTCCGCCCCACGCTGAGCCGCTTGCATGCAGGCGCAGCTCGGGCCGCCCCTGCGGGCCGCGCATGCCTCGTAGGGTGGCGCCTGGAAGCACGCCTTAGCACTGTCTCTGTGGCGCAATCGGTTAGCGCGTTCGGCTGTTAACCGAAAGGTTGGTGGTTCGAGCCCACCCAGGGACGTGCCTTCACTTTTCCTTCCCCGGGTAAGAAGAGAGGGGACGGCTCGCCTTCTTTTGCCACGACCCTCCCCGCGCACTTCTGTATCCTCCTATCCCGCGTGGGGCGTCCGGCGGCGCGCGGTGCTGGGGATTCCACAGAGGCGGAACGTCCCCGCCCGAGTTCCGGTTTCCGAGCACGAGCCGAGGCACTTTGGTCGACGGCCCCGGGGACCCGGAGCTCTGAAGAGGACGGACCACAGAGGTTGTCTGAAGGCCGAGGCCAAGATGGCGGCGCTGGAGGGTGAGCAGGTCGGGGCGGTGGGGGCGA